CCGGCGTCGAGCATTCCAGATGGTTCCGGGGCCGAGCGGATCGGCTGGCGACACCCCTTGCAGACCCACAGGCTGGGCGAGGTGGGGTGGGACCTCCAAGGTCACCTCGTCCGACCCCTCCCCCACCTCCAGCCGGGCCACCTGGAGCCCCGTGGGACCACGTCCCGGCGGCTCTTGAAGGTCCCCAAGGATGGAGATGCCACCACCCCCGCCCCGGGCAACCCGTGCCGGTGCCTGGGGACCCCCACGGGGGGGAAAGGGCGGCTCCTGGGGGTCCGAGGGACCCTCCCGTCCTCCAGTTTGTGCCCGTGGCCACTGGTCCACCGCCCCGTGGGACCACGTCCCGGCGGCTCTTGAAGGTCCCCAAGGATGGAGATGCCACCACCCCCGCCCCGGGCAACCCGTGCCGGTGCCTGGGGACCCCCACGGGGGGGAAAGGGCGGCTCCTGGGGGTCCGAGGGACCCTCCCGTCCTCCAGTTTGTGCCCGTGGCCACTGGTCCACCGGCCTGGGGCTGTTCCTCCCCAGGGGCAGGACGTGGCCCACCCCCTCGTTGAACAAACGCAGCCCAGGGCATCGTTGGCCTCTGCGGCAAGGGCGCGTTGGTGGCTCCCGGCCCACCCGGTGCCCACCGGGACCCCCAGGGCCTTTGTCCCAAGCCGCTCTCCGGCCGCCTGGCCCCCAGCACGTACCGGTGCCTCCCCAGGGGACCGCTTCCCCTTGCCGCACGCCGGCAGGTTCCTCTCGGCCCCGTCCTTCGGCCTGGCCAGGTCCCTCTGGATGGCGGCACCACCCCCTGCCATACGAGCGGCTCCTCCCGGTTCGGTGTCATCTGCCAACTTGCCGAGGGCAATGATCTGCCCGTCATCCAAATCGTAAAAGCCGAGGACGGCGCAGCTGGAGAGCGAAAAACCCCGGTCTTGCGAACGTCCTCAGGGTGCCCAGAGAGGCGGTGGCGTCCCCATCCCTTGGGGACGTGGTCCTCCGTGGACGACGCCTGCTTGAGGGCTGGACCAGGCGACCTCCAGAGGTCCTGTCCCACCTCAACCAGTCCGTGGCCCCGTGAAACGCTCGCCTAGGCGCTTTCGAGGTTTCTCTGGGGCTTTGCGAGACGACGTCGTGTGCCGCGGGGGACGGTTGAACGTCTGCGCAACCCCGCGAAGGGCCGGCGCCTCTGTTGACCTTTCCGGGCCAAGGGGGCTGGCGTCCTCGCCGGATTTTGGTCCCGCTGAACCTTCTCAGGAAGGTTCACGTCTGGACGGGCTCCGTAAAGTTGCGCCGCTTCCGCGCTTGACCGATGTCTTGCTGCTGAAGGAGCTGCTCTGAGGTTTAGAGCCTTGGCTGGTACCTGGAGAAAAGGACAAAACCCTCAGATCCCCTCCAGGCACCCCCCCTTCCGTGTCCCTGTCTCCCCTTTTACCGGCGGTGCTTGGGCGAGCCGCAAGGGGCGGCGGAGGCGGGGGAAGGAGCGGTGATGGAGGCCGTTATTTTGGAGAACCCTTCCCGTTGCCAACCCAGGCGAGCCCCGGGCGGGCGTTTCGCGTCAGACCAGCTGGAAATACCGAGCTTCTCTCTAAGTTCGGGTTCGTTAAGGAAGTGAGACCTTAATGATGTGGTTTACGCTCGTGAGCCGCTTGGGTAGAGGCTTTGCTGTGGGGAGTCCTGGTGTCCTCCTGCCCCGTGCTCCCGGACAGAGCGCCGGCTGCGGCGTTGGGCCTCTGCAAGGACCTGGCTTGTCCCGTCTTTGCCCTTCGTGACCTTTGCGGCTGTGTCGGGAGGAGGATTGCTCTTCGGTTTCTTTCTTTGCTGCAGCTCGTGCGTGCCTGAAGCTCGCTAGAAACGGAGAAACCCCCCTCAACTCGTTTTTAGGCAGCAAAAAAGTTGACTTTGGGGTGGCGGTGCAGGGCAGAAGGAGACGCGGGTGAAACACCCGGCTCGCCATACAGCCTCGGGCAGAGTCGCGCCACGGGCGGCACCCGTCCCCTCTGGCTGTGGAAGAAAGGAAGAGGGAGCGGGAGGCAAGCCGGAGTTTCACGCGGACCTTTCTGATGTCTCCGCCAGGCTGGGAAGGTGAAACGAAAGCTGCCGCAAGGTCCGCGAGCGAAGGCAGAAGGATTCCTGGGGCGGCTCCAGCCAGGACCAGCGTCCCAGCAAGGTCAGCGGGATGGAGCTGGTTTCGCTCTTCCTCAGCGTCCCATGCTCAAAACCCACGTCCGTCTCCCCCCCGTCGCGCTTCCCTTCTCACCCTCTGCCTCTTTCCTTCCCCAGATGGAGAAGGAGGAGGAGACCCGGGAGATCCTGCTCCCCAACTGGCAAGGCAGCGGCTCCCACGGCATCACCATCGACCAGACGGACGATGGCGTCTTCGTCAAGCAAGTACAGCAAAACTCCCCGGCCGCCAAGATGGGCGTCGTGAAGGAAGGTGGGACCTTGGCGGAGGTGGGGGGGGAAGGTCTTTTGGGGGGAAAAAACACGTTCTTTGTGTCTGGCTTTTCCATCTTGGCAGTGCCTCGGTTGCTTCCTCCCCCTTCTTGGGCAATAACCCCGTGGCTCAGGCGTCGTTGCTCCCCGTCTTGGACAACCTGCAATCCGGGGAAGTCGCGCAGCTGCTCAACAGCATGGGCCACCACACGGTGGGCTTGCGCTTGCAACGGAAAGGGGACAAGTCTCCGCTGCCGGGACAGTCATGGTCACACGACGTGTTTGCGGCCAGCAGCCCTGAAGTCGTTCTGGTGAGTGATGGGGAAGAAGGGATGAGGAGGGGGGGGGGGGGGGGGAGGAAGCATCCTGGCGCTAACGAAGGTCTCTTCGTTTCCAGAGTGGGGACGACGAGGAGTACAGGAGGATTTACACGACGAAAATCAAACCCCGGCTGAAGTCGGAGGAGGCGGTGGAAGCGGAGTGCGGCGGAACGCAGAGCAGGACCATCACGGTCACCAGAAAAGTGACGGCGTACACAGTCGATGTCACTAGGCACGACGGAGAAAAAGACATCGACGTCGTCGGCACCGACTTCAAAATCCGGATCCCGACCCAGGAGATCGCCCACGTTGAAGCAGAACCTGGGAAAACTGCGATCAAAATGGCAGCGGGGGATCTGCCTGGGAGAGGCACCCAAGCCGCAGGCTGGAGCGTGGACATCAGAGGGGCACCTCCTGGAGCAACGGTTGAATCTTCTGCCCAGAAGTTGGATGTCCACCTCGGCGAGGCTCAGTTCGGAAAGCCGGCGATAACCGTGCCGGGAACGCAAGCGATGGGCGTTCACCTGAGGACTCGGATGGATCCTCAACTGCCGGAGAGCCAAGTTCCTGGTGGGGAAACTGGAAAATCTGTTACGGTGGAGGTGCCGGGGTGTGACGTTTCTGGCACGGCGTTCCTGGGCCCCCAGGGCGGCTTGCCCAGAATTGAAGCAAATGGACAGATGGGGAACCTGGACGCAGGTTTTCACATCAAGGGTCCCAGGTTGGACGGCAAAGGACACGTTTCCGGCGTGGGTGTCCAAGGGGAGCTGGGCGGGACGCTGTCACACGCTGATGCTTCTGCCCCTTGTCTTCAGGGAGATATCAAAGCCCCCAGAGTTGACGTTTCTTTACCGGCGATGGAAAATCCAGCTGTCGATGTGGGAAAAATCAAGATTCCGGTTTTGAAAATGCCCAAATTCGGGTTCGCGACCGCGGGATCTGGCATCGAAGCTCAAGCCCCGCAGGTGGGCACCGACGTTCCCATGCCAAAACCGCAGGCTCCGTGCGTGGACGTTGCTTCCTCATCTGTCCAGGTCACGGGACCCGAAGTTTCAGCTCCTTCGGTGAAAGTCCCAAAGCCACAGGTGGACATGGGGTTGAAGGGTGCTGTGAAGGTCCCCTCCCCAGAACTGGAGGTCCCCGGCGTGGCTGTCAAAGGACCCAGCGTAGAGCTCCCAGCTTCTGATGCAGATGTTCACGGTGGCAAGGGAAAACTCAAAACACCACACATGAACTTTCCGAAATTTACTGCCTTGGACTCGGAAGGGGAAGGTCCCGTTGTGGAAATGGTGCTCCCCAAGGGCGAGGTGGGACCAGCCGCGGCAGATGTTGGCATTCCCGATGTGGCCATCAAAGGAGAATGGAAAGGCCCCAGGTTCAAGAAGGTTGAAACACCCCAAATCTCTCTGTCAGATGTAAACTTGAACCTGAAAGGCCCTCAGGTGAAGGGCGATACGGGTGTCACGGTCCCCAGAGTGGAAGGGGATGCCAAAGGACTTGGCTCTAAGGGCCTCAAGATGGACGTAAAGGCCCCTGGTGTTGAATTTGAAGGTCCAGAGGGTTATTTGAAAGGGCCCAGTCTACCTGCACCAGATATGGACATTAAGGTGAAGGGACCTAAGCTTAAGGGAGAAGTGGATGTTTCTGTCCCAAAGATGGGTGGCAACTTGAAAGGACCTCAGCTGGACATTAAAGGTCCCAAACTGGGAATGGAAGTGCCTGATGTAGATGTCAAAGGCCCCAAAGTTACGATGCCAGAGGCACACGTCAAGACCCCCAAAATATCCATGCCTGACATCGACCTGAATCTGAAAGGCCCCAAAGCGAAAGGAGACCTGGATGTTTCTGCCCCAAAACTGGAAGGGGAGCTGAAAGCACCCGGACTTGACATCAAAGGCCCCAACGTTGACATTGAGGCGCCAGACGTGGACATCCACGGTCCAGAAGGCAAACTGAAGATGCCCAAGCTGAAAATGCCCAAGTTTGGGGTGCCCGGCCTGAAGGGAGAGGGCCCCGACATTGACGTGACTCTTCCAAAGGGTGAGGTGGCCATTTCTGGTCCTGGCGTAGATATCGATGTGCCAAGTGTGGACATCAAAGGGCCGGAAGGAAAACTGCAAGGCCCCAAGGTGAAGATGCCAGAGATGAGCTTCAAGACCCCCAAAATATCCATGCCTGACATCGACCTGAATCTGAAAGGCCCCAAAGCGAAAGGAGACCTGGATGTTTCTGCCCCAAAACTGGAAGGGGAGCTGAAAGCACCCGGACTTGACATCAAAGGCCCCAACGTTGACATTGAGGCGCCAGACGTGGACATCCACGGTCCAGAAGGCAAACTGAAGATGCCCAAGCTGAAAATGCCCAAGTTTGGGGTGCCCGGCCTGAAGGGAGAGGGCCCCGACATTGACGTGACCCTTCCAAAGGGTGAGGTGGCCATTTCTGGACCCAGGGTAGATATCGATGTGCCAAGTGTGGACATCAAAGGGCCAGAAGGAAAACTGAAGGGCCCCAAGGTCTGTGTGCCAGATGTTGATCTGAACCTGAAAGGCCCCAAAGTGAAGGGCGACGTGGACATTTCCATTCCCACCGTCGGAGCTGATTTGAAGGGTCCCGAACTAGAGCTCAAAGGCCCCAACATTGACATTGAAGCGCCAGACGTGGACATCCACGGTCCGGAAGGCAAACTGAAGATGCCCAAGCTGAAAATGCCCAAGTTTGGGGTGCCCGGCCTGAAGGGAGAGGGCCCCGACATTGACGTGACTCTTCCAAAGGGTGAGGTGGCCATTTCTGGTCCTGGCGTAGATATCGATGCGCCAAGTGTGGACATTGAAGGGCCAGAAGGAAAAGGAAAAGGTCTCAAATTTAAAATGCCTGAACTAAACATTCAGACGCCAAAACTGTCCATGCCAGATGTAGATCTCAGTTTGAAGGGCCCCAAGGTGAAAGGAGATGCAGATGTTTCTGGCCTGAAGGTCTCTGGAGATCTGAAGGGCCCCAAAATAGATGTGGAAGGTCCCAAAGTGGATGTTGATATGCCTGAGGTAGACTTGGAATGTCCAGAAGGGAAAATAAAAGGCCCCAAATTTAAGATGCCTAAGCTTAACATCAAGACACCTAAAATATCCATGCCAGACGTAGATTTGAACTTCAAGGGACATAAAACGAAAGGAGAGATGGATGTTTCTCTTCCGAAGATAGAAGGTGACTTGAAAGACTCTGGTGTTAATATCAAGGGACCGAAAATAGATGTTGAGGTCCCAGATGTCAACCTGGAGTGTCCGGAAGCCAAACTGAAAACGCCAAAAGTGAAATTGCCTCATTTCAACGTGTCAGGCCCAAAGTTTGAGGGAACCGATATAGATGTCAACCTGCCAAAAGGAGAGCTAGATATTTCTGGGCCAGAGGCAGATATTGAAGTGCCAGAGCTGGATGTTGGAGGACCAGAAGGAAAGTGGAAAGGCCCCAAGTTCAGGATGCCGAAGCTGAATATCAAAACACCTAAACTATCCATGCCAGATGTAGATTTGAACCTAAAGGGACCCAAGGTGAAAGGAGAAATGGATATCACGGCTCCTAAGATAGAAGGTGATTTGAAAGGGCCAGAAATAGACATTAAGGGGCCAAAACTCGATGTTGAGGCACCCGATATTGATTTGGAGTGCCCTGAAGGAAAACTGAAGGGCCCCAAGTTCAAGATGCCCGAGATGCACATCAAGGCGCCCAAGATCTCCATGCCCGACGTGGACATTAATCTGAAAGGGCCCAGCATGAAAGGGGATATTGAAGTCTCAGCTCCCAAGCTCGAGGGTGGTGTAAAAGGTCCCGAGGTGGACATCAAGGGCCCGAAGGTCGACATTGATGTGCCAGACGTGGACGTTCACGGCCCAGAGGGAAAATTCAAAATGCCCAAGTTCAAAATGCCCAAGTTCGGGATGCCGGGGCTGAAAGCAGAAGGCCCAGAGGTGGACGTGAACCTGCCGACAGGAGACCTGGATGTTTCTGGTCCAAAGGTGGACATTGAGGGTCCAGAGGTGGACATTGAAGGTCCAGAAGGGAAGGTGAAGGGCCCCAAGTTCAAGATGCCCGAGATGCACATCAAGGCACCCAAGATCTCCATGCCCGACGTTGACTTCAATCTGAAGGGCCCCAAGCTCAAGGGCGATGTGGACGTGTCTGTCCCTAAGCTCGAGGGTGACCTGAAGGGTCCCGAGGTGGACATCAAGGGCCCGAAGGTCGACATTGATGTGCCAGACGTGGACGTTCACGGCCCAGAGGGAAAATTCAAAATGCCCAAGTTCAAAATGCCCAAGTTCGGGATGCCGGGGCTGAAAGCAGAAGGCCCAGAGGTGGACGTGAACCTCCCAAAAGGTGATATTGATGTTTCCGTCCCAAAGGTAGATATTGAGGTGCCCAGTGTGGACATTGAGGGTCCTGAAGGAAAACTCAAAGGTCCCAAATTTAAAATGCCCGAGATGCACATCAAGGCACCCAAGATCTCCATGCCTGACATCGACTTGAACCTGATAGGCCCCAAAGTGAAGGGGGATGTGGACGTGTCTGTTCCAAAATTAGAGGGTGACTTGAAGGGACCCGATGTGAATATTAAAGGTCCGAAGTTGGATGTTGATGTTCCGGATCTTGATGTTGAAGGTCCTGAAGGAAAATGGAAAGGACCCAAGATAAAAATGCCAGATATGCATATTAAGGCACCTAAATTTTCTATGCCTGATGTAGATCTCAACCTGAAAGGTCCCAAAATTAAGGGAGACTTGGATGTTTCTCTACCGAAAGTAGAGGGTGATGTGAAAGGGCCGGATCTGGAACTCAAAGGGCCCAAAGTGGACCTAGAAGCTCCTGACGTAGACATTGAGGGCCCAGAAGGCAAGCTGAAGGGTCCCAAATTTAAGATGCCCGAGATGCATTTCAAAGCCCCCAAAATCTCCATGCCGGACTTTGATCTGAACCTGAAAGGCCCCAAAGTGAAGGGGGATGTGGACGTTTCTGTTCCGAAACTTGAGGGAGATTTGAAAGGCCCAGACGTTGACATCAAAGGCCCGAAACTGGATGTTAATGTTCACGACATTGACCTAGAGTGTCCAGAAGCAAAAGTTAAAGGCCCCAAGTTCAAGATGCCTGAAATGCACTTCAAGACACCAAAAATCTCCATGCCCGATATCGATTTGAACCTGAAAGGCCCTAAGCTGAAGGGAGACGTGGATGTTTCTGCCCCCAAACTAGAGGGTGACTTGAAAGGCCCCGAGATGGATATCAAAGGTCCTAAACTGGATATAGAAGCTCCTGATGTGGATATTGAGGTCCCAGAGGGGAAGCTGAGAGGCCCCAAATTTAAGATGCCTGAGATGCATTTTAAGGCTCCCAAGATCTCCATGCCGGACTTCGATCTGAACTTGAAAGGCCCCAAAGTGAAGGGGGATGTGGACGTGTCTGTTCCCAAGCTGGAAGGTGACCTGAAAGGGCCTGAGTTTACAGGAAAAGGGCCGAAAGTGGACATAGAGGCTCCAGATGTTGAGCTAGAATGCCCAGAAGGCAAGTTGAAGGGCCCCAAGTTCAAGATGCCCGAGATGCATTTCAAGGCCCCCAAAATCTCCATGCCAGACTTTGATCTGAATCTGAAAGGCCCCAAAGTGAAGGGGGATGTGGACGTGTCTGTTCCCAAGCTGGAAGGTGACCTGAAGGGCCCCGAATTTGACATCAAAGGACCCAAAGTCGATGTTGACCTTCCTGACGTGGACATGCAAGGCCCAGAAGGGAAAATAAAA